AGTAGTAGCAGTAGTAGTAGAAGAGTGCAAGTCTAATAGCAGCGTTCATGGTATGCATACATGCACACATACATGCATACATGCTTACGTACAGCTGTGCAGGCAGAGAAACAAACACGCATGCAGGCATACATATATATATATACATACACATACATTACATACATACATACATACATACATGCATACATGCATACATACATACATACATACATACATACAGATACCTATATATACATATATATATATATACATATTATATAAATATATACACATATGTATACATGCATTTTTTATGTATGTATTTATGGCCGACCTCCGAGATGCTGCCGGAGGAGGGTCGCTCCATAAGCATGGGGAGCGAAGGCCTGGGAAGGGCTCGGAGTTGGGCGGCACGGATCATAGATACATATGGCAGGTTGAGGGTTTAGGGTTGAAGGGATAGGGTTTATACGGGGGGAAAAGAGTCTATGAGGGTTTATCAGGGTTGAAAAGGGTTTATACGGGTTTAGGTGATTTTCTGCGGGCAGGCAACTGATTGTCGTGGTCTGCTTTCAGGAAAACTTGCTGCTACGTGCCCTTACACACTTGTTCATCACGAGTCTATTCACACAATACTGTGGGTCCTATGCTCCGTTTTGGCTATTAGGGTTTATGAGTGTAGGGCTTCCAGTTCGAGGGCAGATGGTAGTGGGAACGAGGGTTGTGAACTGCTTGAAGATACCAGCATTGTTGTCGCCAGCATGCTGCTGGTGTTCGAGATGACTAGTTACAATCTGGTTACCGCGCTCTATCATCTTTCGAAACCACTGTTCATACTCCATATACTCCATCAAGTTTGTTGAGGACTTTGGAACCATGTATGCATACATTCAATCATGCATTCCGTAATCAAACACGGGTGTGCCAAACGACGCTTCCCCTGTTCCGGGTCCACCGTGTTCAATCCTTGCTTCGCTGATTTTGGTTGATATGCCATCCGGGATGGATCACAGAAGACAAAGACGTCTGCATGTCCGGTTAGAGGTTGCTCTACTGAACGCCGCGGCTTCCGAGAAGGCTAAAAGCACATATACGTAAATATGTTCTAAGGGGCTACCTGTCTACTCCATCTTCAAATGCCGTCTTTGTCTGCAACGTCGTCCTGCCCAGACTTTGATGATGTCCACTACCCCATGCACATATGCGTCATGCGGAGTCTACGCGTAGTTCACATATTCGTCTACAAACGTATGCATACATGTGTTCCGTTCTGTGTGGGTTCCTGAACATGATGCGACATGCTATTGCATGCGTCGCAGAGCTCTTTAACCGTACTGCGCAGTAATATCGTCTAAGAGATCCACGCTTGTGCGTCATGCTTGGTATTGTCATACAGTCTTATCGTTCTTCTACTGGTACCGTTGTTACTGGTATACTGTTACTCGTCTAGACTTCTTCACAAGATTGTTCACACACTTGTCACATCTCGTCCCCACTGGCTTTGGGTGAAACGCCGTGTTGTGCCTGAATGCATGCGGCCTCAGCATAAAAGGCACAAGGAAGCCCCCCTCTCGCTCTCTCTCAGAAATGTGTGGAGGTACGTGTGTATATATGTATGGCACACACACACACTCGCACACATCTGTGCAGAAATGCAGACGAAGTTGTCAAAAAGACAAACCAGCGAGCAAACAAACAAACGCGCACCATCATCCACACACATACACACTCACGCACCCACATGTACACGTGAGAACAGAATTGTGTACCTTGGGCACACAAAGTGAGTGAATAGTACATCAATGCACAGGGTGTTTGTGTGCAGGAGCAGAGCCAGAGAGAGATAGAGAGCGCGAGAGACATAGGCATTTCGGTGTTTCGGTGCAGGCGTACCTACCTGATGCACAAGTTTCTAGTCCCACATGTGCTCCTTTCCGTTTTAGCAGCTGTTTAAGCGTGCCTGAGCATACAACCAATGTAAAGCCACATCCTGCGATGAACACCAATCTTTCTTCAAGCACACCTGCAAACCATTACGTAGACATGTGTGTTCTATACAACACCTGCTATGTCTCCTGGTATGCATTGCATTCGATGTGGCAAAATAATGCAGATGCAATAGCATAACATGCGCCTGCACGGAAAGGGCGGTCATGCTCTCTTCGCATGCGTATATCTACGTTGTATAAATGAACATGCAAGATGCATGTGGATGGGTAGTGGTAGACAACATCAGAAACGCGAATTGTCTGTGTAAATGGGTCTTTGTATGCCTGTGTACACTCCCATATAGAGCGCACTCCGGACGAACTCGGAAACCTTTCTGAGAGCGAAGCATCTGGGCAACGCGGCGCAGAGGGTTCTTTTGAAGCAACCGCGCAGCCTTTTCTGTTTGAGCTGGATTGTTCAGGGCGAATAGAGGCAGGCATGACGTCGTCGCACTGCAAACAGCACTTCATTCGATCGTTCTTGCACAAAGTTTGCACGCTCATGCCTGCTGCTGAAGCTGGGCACCCCTACGCTGGGTCGCCTTGCCGGATCCTCGCTACATCGTCACACAACACACTGCAACACAGGCGCTCACGAGGACCTGTATGCCCTTGTCCAGAATGCATGTAGCTTTAACTTCCAAATAACAACCTGGTCGTGTATGGAGTCTGTGAGTCTCGAGACCGACGACATGTTCCTTGGAGCTACCTGTATGAGATCAAATCCTCAGCCTCTCATGTAGATCTTGCCAACTGCATGCCGGAGTCCTTCTCCAGCATCGGTCGCACGAGCCCACGGACCTTGTGCGTTCGATGGCTTCTCTTCCACATTTCACCCGAGCCCGGGTCGCCTTGGCACCCGAACCCAGCAATTAAATATCGGTTTTGTAGGTTTCACACCTCCACACTCTGCTTCCGACGCCCCTGTCTCGCATAACTTGCGTATCTGAAGCGGAGGCCCAGAAGCATCAATGACGGAGTCTTGGCAGTTATCTTGTTTACCATCCTCCCTGCAATATCCTGAAATGAGCTCGCTTGGCGCCTCTTCCGCATAGAAGTCATTGACGATGGGCTTGGGCTCACCGTTCACCTCGGCCCCCGCGTACCCGTCCCTCTTTGCTCTTGCAGCACAGCCATAACGGATCCGTAGCTAGCTACTTTTCACCTGAGATACTTGACTGCAACAGTTGCACTTACCGAATCGGCAAAGAAAAAGTTGAGAGCCAGGCTATTTTGATGGCCAGCGCAGCTAGGCTCATCGCCTCAGGCACACAGGCACCAACACTTAATGCCCCATACTAGATCAACACCAAAGACAAAAGGATGACAAGTGCTGCTCTTTGCCCCACGTGGGAACGGCTGAGACATGATACTTGAAGAATACCGACTTCGTACAGGCTTTCAGCTCTTTGCCTCCCAACTCTTTTGGGGGGAGCATTCAGAGTTTTAGGTGCAAGGCTTTTGGAGATTTTAGGTTTGCAGAAACGTGCCCCGCATTGCCCATGTCTGAGGGCCCACCGGGTGAAGGCTTTCGGGCTTTACCCAGGCCCATAACCCGGAACCTCAACCGCAAGATCAGCCCGAACTCCCGCCGCAATCCCACAGTACCACAAGCAGCCCAGCCCTAAACATCCCTAAACCCTGGCCCTAAATCCCACACTTCTCTTAACCCTAAACCCTAAACCCTAAATCCCAAACATCTCTTCCTCGCATCGTCCCTGCTCAACCAGACCTCTCCGGGTAACTGGCACCGAGGCTCTCGGGCTAGGGCACATAAACAAACAAACATACATACATACATACAGACAGACAGACAGACATACATTCATTCATTCATGCGTACATACACATCATTTTGTTGTTGTTGCTGCTGCTGTTGCTGCTGTGGTTGTTGTCGCTGCTGGTTTGTTGCCCTATTTCTCAGCAAATTTTGAATAGAGATACGTGCGCATGTATGCAGGGCGGAATAGAGCTGAATATATCTACGACAGGTAACAGATGGCCTTTTCCATGGCAATCATGCAAAAGATCAAGGGACAAATCGCACGTAGTAGCAAGAACAAAGGCTTGGCTTCACAAGTGCAAGGGCCAAGGGCAGCTGCTAAAGCCGAGGCCAAGGCCTTAAAGGGAGGCTCCAGTGTCAAAAGTTCGTAAAAGACCACGCCAAGGGACCAAATATCAGCCTCCCGGCGGGGCTTTCGCTTTAATTGTGCAGCATAACCAATCCTAGCCAAGCGAAACTTGCCAAAACCTGGCTCAATCTGACCTAGCGGCCTGTACTGCACACTGTGATGAGGATCCAGGTTATACGGGCCTTCCCCAGGACAAACATGCAGCGCAAGGGGACCCTTGAAAAAAAAACAGGCTCGAAGGCGATCGACAACACCGCGTGCTGCAGTGCCAGGCCTTCGTGCCATACGGCTTGCTGTCACAAACCTGGGCTCATGCTTCGGTCTGCTGTGGATCTCTCCCTTCACCTGCGGGCTGAAAGCATTTTCCGAACCCCGGGAACAGGGGGGGTCGCCGGGACTTCTGCGGGGATGGGGCCCCAGCTGCTTGCGTTCTGCGCCCCGAGATCTGAAGAGGCCCTCAAGCTTGGGGCGAGCTTTGAAGGCTCTGACCGCTCAGCCTGACGACTTTACGTGTCATTCACACAGCTCAATGAAGCATCCGACGCAAGCGTAGGTTGCGCGGCATGATGTTGCGGCATGCATGCCGTATGCCTGTATGTTACATACTGTATGAACAGAAAGAAGCACAAAGGCAGAGCCGAACAAAACGACGAGTAACACACTCACAGGCTAACACGCAGCATATGCGCCACAACAACAGCTTCAATCAGACCTGTCTGCAGCTGCCAGGATAAGGATAACTATATTCATCAACCCACCAAAAGATGCTCAAGCGCGATCGCTTCTGATGCCAGGCCGCAACGACAGTGGTCTTTCTAAAGCCACTCCCGAGTCCCCAAGCAAGATCCCGGTGAGCCGAATGACTACAGCTATAGATGTTCTCATGCAGATGCAGGAATGCAAACGACCCAATGTACTATCAACTGGGTGGCAGGCTTCTGGGGGGAGGTTGCTCGGCGTGCCGATCAAGGTCTGTGCTAAACCCCTGGGCAGGATGGGGATTTCAACATCGGGCTTCGGAAGAAGTGTTGGCGACGACGAGGAAGACAAGCGTGGGGACGGACATACGGGTGAAGATGGGTGAGTTTTGGGGGATGGTGGTGGTGGTGACTATGATGATGATGGTGGTGCATGCGCTGCTGACAACGAAGATGATGAGTACAAACAGATGGCGACCCCAAACTCGGAACCTTAACACAAGCGAACACACTCTAAGCCCAACAATGTCAACAACACGGATGAGGAGCTTCGTGATTGCGATCGTGGTGACTCTGCTGGTGATGTCTGATGATACGGATGAACATGAAGACGGCACACATGCCTGTGGGCCTGTGATGCTGATGACGACTGCTATGAAGTAGGTGTTCGGGGCAGTGATGTCGATGGTGATGACTACGATGTTGCTGTTGATATTGATTCTCATGCTGATGGTCCTGACCATGACGACGATAGCGATTCAGAATCAACCATTAAGTGTGCGCACGAGGAGAGAGGCAAAGATGACATGGACGATGAAAAGGCCAAATTGGACAAGGTTGCAGCACAGATCGGGAGTTAAATCACGGCACATCGTCGATTGTGTCTTTCCTGCCTGGTATGCTGCAGCACTTTCGCGATGCCGAAATCTCCGATCCTTGCCAGAGCAGTGACGTATGGCTGCCGAGAGCTAACCAAGTCAGGGTTCACGGTATAGGGTTTAGTGTGGATTTGCAGGCAAACCGGGCAGGCAAAGCTAGTCAGCATTTTCGTCATGTGTCACTGTCACTGCCTCTTGCCGGCCAAGGCACTTTACAATACAACCGCCGCCTCCCGCATTGGACAGGAAAATATTCTGGCCTGGGCGCACTCAACATATTGGTATCTCAAGATTGGTATACGCATGGAGAGAGAAAGCGTGTCGCCCAACATGCGTGTCGTTCAAATGCAATAGTAGTACAGTGCATATGTATAGATATGAAATAAAAAATAAGTACATGTATACATATATATATATGTCAATATATGTATGTGTGTATATACATACATATACATATATATATATATATGTATGTATACATATATGTAATTAAAAAAATAATATGTATACATACTTCTGCTGTGTAAGACTGCGGAGCGGGCTCAAGAAGGATGGCGTGTCAGGTGTCGTGTCACAGCCGGCCTAGGGCTGCAGCTCTTGAGATCCCTGTGCACGATTCGCCTCGCATGGATGTGACGCCTGGGCGGTCTCAGAGGGCAAAGCGAGGGGTTTGGGGTTTAGGATTTGAAAGCTTAAGGCTTTTACTTTAGGAGTCAGATGCCTGCTTCTCATCAAAGGCAGAGTCCGTCGCACACTCAGAACACATCGCCATCATGGTGCGCACACAGATTTTAAACCATGCGTCCAATCGACAGGCTGCCCGCATCGTGGGGTCACTCTGTGTGTGTGTGTGATTTTGCTTACGGAAAACGAAGCCATCTCCACTTGATTCTTTGCTTCTGACAGGCACGGAGTGACCCTACAAGCAGGCACGGCTCGTTAACCCTGCTACCTCCAAGCAAGGCAACAGCGAAGCAAGGCTTGGAGGCCATTGCAAGTGAACTAGCCAAGAAGCACCAAACTGGCACCTTAGACGCGTAAACAAATAGTCCTACCTAGCTCGCAAAGCAGCAGCTCATGCTGGTCTAAACTCAACGAGGTTCTCTCTCCCAGAAACTCCAACATCCCTCAACTCAATATCGCTACCTCTGAAGCCCTACTATAATATCCTCCCTAAACTTCTAAAACCTTAAAGCCTAGGAGGAGTCTCTGAAGAAGGAACTTTGAAGCCTCTAAACCCTAAACCCTAACCCCTAAACCCCTAAACCCTAAACCCCTAAACCCCTAAACCCCTAACGGGTGTCAGGATGGGAGATCCATGACCGCCATATCGGAGGGCGAGCGCCTGCCTGGGCCGACGCATCTCGGATTTCAGGCATTAGGGGTTTAGGGGTTTAGGGTCGAGGGGTTTAGGGGTTCAGGGTTTAGGGGTTTAGGGTCGAGGGGTTTAGGGGTTTAGGGGTTGAGGGGTTTAGGGTTTAGGGAATAACTGACTTTTGTGGTTCAGCTAGTCCTACCATATCCCACCACTACCAAGGCTATGTTTGTCTTGC